ATTAACTTTAATTTAACAATTTCGATACAATAAATATTTTTCGGACTTCTTTCCAAAAAAAAGAATTCTCACTCTCATTAGGGTTAAAATTTAAATAAGGAAAAATGGCAATACTTATAAAGGAATTTTTTTAAGAACAAAATTCTATAAGAGTTGACATCTTATAAAAAATACTTTATGAGAATTAAAATCTTTTATGGCTTGCCGATAGTAGTTTTGCTATGAGAGTAGCAGAATTTTTAACACTACAAGAACTAAGTCTTTATTATAAGAAACTTACAAAAGTTGCATAAAAACAAAAAGAAAGAAAAAAAAAATTATGAGAGTATGAAGTGTGGTATGAGAGTTTTATGAGAGTTTTGGTCAACTTTTTAGGGTATTACTAATGTCTTTACATCTAACCAGTCCCAATACTCAATTTTTTTTACGAAATATTACGAATTTTTGGCTTCGTTCCTGGTTTTTTCTTTAAATGCTACTGATCGTGTCATATTTCTTATTATTAATTTTTTCTTTTTTTTACGTAAAAAACAGTTTAATATTTTAAAAAATCTCAGCATATTATACACATTTTTTAAAAAGCTTCCCATTTAAATTATATTGCACGAAAAAAAAAGAAAGGTAGGAGGAAAGAAAAAATGAAAAAAAATTTGAAATTCATATTTCAGTATGGTTTCAAATGTTAATGAGGAAGGATGTATGATTTTTCATGCCATTTTGTATTTCCCCATAAGGTAAGTTGAGTAGTGTCGGCTAACAAAAATGTTAGTAAAAGTAATATAGGTTGACACATTTCAACAATTTGAATTATCTCTTTTCGGTTATTTATACGTTACTTATAAAATTGTTTCAAATAATTTCAGTTAGCTTTTAAGTTATTAAAAATAAATATGTATGTACCTACTTCCAATAAATTTTTTTTAAATAATTATTTTAAAACTATTTCAAACATGTTATATCGAGTGCTTCAAAAATTTTGCTGTGCTATTCTTTCATATTTTATTAACAGGTAAACAAGAGCAATCTATTTAAATGGCCCTGCCTGTGTGTGAATCTTAATAGTAAACGCAAACGGACAAAAATTTACATCAGTACTTACTACCTGTCATTTTACAATCGGAGTTTTTGAGTCATTTGCTAAGATAATATTTATTTCAAAAATAGAAAAGATATGTTATTCGAATCCGGTCATAAAAATATATTATTGTCTTTTCCAAAACCTTTTAAATATTTTTTTACTTAGGTAATATATTAAGTTTTAAAAAATTTTCTCACAAATAGAGATAAAATTTAGAAGTGTATACAAAATTTGTATTTAAAAAATAATATTTGATTGTATTTTAAATATTATTTTCTAATTCCCTCTTAAAATTTTTTCTTTACTACGTATTTATATCAATTTTTTTTTTTTTTATCCTTCTTCACTCCTATAAGGAGTATAGGGCTAGTGCATGATATCTATCATGCCCTAGTTTCTATAGTCATAGAGAGTTAACTAGGTAGGTGACTAGCCTACCGTGGTTTTTATTTATATTAAATATTTCAGTTTATTAATATTTTACTGTTTATTTTTCTTAGTCTTTAGTATCGAATATTATGAATATTTTGAAAATTACTTGTATAATATTTATTAGTATTGCATATTAAGTTATACAATATTGAATATAATTTTTAAAGTGACCTGACCGTGGTTTGAACCCGAGACCCGTCGGTTAAAGGGCCGGTGCCATAACCACAGCACCAATGGTCAGATATTTATATCGATATTTAATAATTATCTTTTATTTATTATATTTTCAACTTTACACCACAGTTACTTCCCATATCTTGAGTTAGCTTACCCTACGAGAAGAAAAAGCTGTTCACTTAAAAATAATGAAATGCAAAACATATAAAATGTTGAAGGCGAAGGTTAATATACATATATAACATAATAAGTGTTAATAATAATAAGTGTTAATTTATTTTAATATTTCTTCTCAAAAAATAGCCACATCGATTTAAAAAAACCCATATAAAATTAGGTCGTGCTTTCAAGTTTCTCTCTGAGCATTGGGACTTGTTAGATATAAAGACATTAGCATTACTCTTGGAAATTGTTGAAAACCAAACATAAAACAAACTGTTTTTTAAATATGCGTTATTATGATTGATGCGCGAATTATATTTCTTTGCTGATTTTATTCATTTAGCAGAAAATGTATAACAAAACAAAAATATTAAGAGTAAATTATACACAAATGTATGTTATCGTTTCTGTTGCGTAACGGCATATTAAGCTAATGAGAAAATAAACATAACAAGAAAAATTAAAAAGCTTTGCAAGAAATCTGTGTACAATTTATAACATGCTATACATACCAAGAATTATGGGAGAATTCAGAATAATGTTTTTTTCGTTTTATTTTTCTATGTTATTCTTCCGAATATGAAGAATATAAGCAAAAAAATGCGATTGTTGCGCCATCGGATTTGGCTTGTATGATATAATATAGACTAGATAGCAATGAATGCAAATATGTTCAAACAAAATTGAGACATGAAAGTATATGTCATGAAAGTATATTGTTAATTTAATGTAGTAAAAAAAATTTAAAATTGAATCTCGCAAAATATAAATTGTTATATAAAGACCCAACAATAGTCATTGTTGTTGATTTGAAATGATATTGAATTTTACATCACAAAATATTAAAATCACATGAAGTAAAAAGTATAAAAAGTATACATAATTTTATACAGATAATAAGTGAAAGACTTATACTTTCAAGTAATAGTTTCTCAACTGAAAATTAAGAAACTATTAAAGATTTTTTTGATTTTTTTGATTACTATATTCCAGAAAAACTGAAAATTTAAAAAAACGCTAAATATTTCAAAAAAGTCCTTTACTTTTTTTCTCGATGCACTGCATCAGCTTTTACAACTTTGCTTTACATAACTTTCATGGCACGCGTGCCATTTTGCAACCATTGTGATACGTTTTATTAACAAAAAAGTTTCCGAACACTTATTTACTCTAGCTTCAACGGCGCCCAATATGTCCGCAAATTTTATTGAGCTATTTTTGGGACGGACGGACGGACGGACGGACCGACAGACGGACGAACGAACGGACAGACAAAACTAAATCGACTCAGAATTCGATGCTGATCAAAAACACATACTTGAGTCTATACTTCAGACTATTATTTCTTAGCATTACAAATGGTAAGACAAATTTAATATACCCTTCGAACATATGTTCGTTCGGGTATAAAAATAGATTCAATTATTACTCGTACAGACTTATTTTAAAAATATGTAAAAATTGTTTTAAAAAAAAAAAAGAAATCAAATTTTCTTTTTTTAAAAAATTTTTTCACAAAATTTTTTAATGGAAGCCTGTAAATTTTGCGTAAAGTATATTTTTATTTTGAATTTTCCTAGTTTTGGAAAACTATATTGTTAATAAGAGAAAAGTAGAAAAAGTTTCTGAATATGAAGTTTTACACATATACATATATGCACATGTATTTTTTATGAACTTCGACAAATTTTTTTGTTTTTCAATTCATAACATTAATGTTTCAATTTTGTTTTATCATGCAAAATAAAAATATAAAAGATTGAAAAATTAATCGTTTGATTCAGAATTTGAACATTATTATTTAACACTTTTTTGCGCTAGCCCAAGAAACTTTAACACGCTTTTGCAGTACATCAGAGGAACTTTTGCCCTTTCTATGCGAAAAATATTGGGGTTACTGTATATAAGATAGCTGAACAATTAGGAACTACTTTCAGAGTTTTTATTAACATATAAGTGCTCAATTTTAGAAGTAGATAAAATTTAGAATGTTTACCTCTGTTGCAGAAAATTGAAAATGATTTACATAAATATTTTTAATTTACTCGATACAGAGAATATATATAATATGTTGGTTTACAATATACATATACAGTATAGTATCAAATAGTCAGATAGTTTCTTTAGTTTCAATACGATTCATAATATCTTTTTAATTTTTTGTGTCAAAAGTCAATTCTATTAATAATAAAATTGAGTCGAACCAATGGTCTGTATTGCAGCACTTTTCCCTTAAACAAGTGAAAATACTGCTTTTAAATACAGTCTATGTATACCTATCAGACAATTCAAATTCTTTTCATTCATAAACGGAATTATTTCCAGGATTGCATATGTTTAGGATGAACGATTTATGCAGTCTTTGAAATAAAGCAAAAATTAATTAAAAGAGGCTTTAATACTCGATTTTAAGGGCTAATTGCGTGAGTTAAGAAAAATAATTATATTTTTTAATGTCATGAAATTTACCATTAGCTTTTTGAGTTTATAGAAATTTGAAAAGCATGCGGTTTTGGAAATATACGACATCAAAAATTCAATTTTTACAAATTTCAAGAGGCGATAACTTGAGAGGGTATGTAGATGGAAAAAAAATTTCTTCTAACGAAATAAACTATTTATTAGTCTCTAAAAGACGCTAAAATTTTAACCTGGGGTGTAGAAGGAAAACCACATCAAAAATTTGGAAAATTTGGACGGCCATTTTGTTTTTTTAAAGTTGAACTATAGTATGAACTATAGAACCACGATAGGGGAAGCAAGCCACTGCTTTTCTGCGTTTGTAAAATTTGAAAAATGCTTATGGTTTCATTGCGATAAATAGTTAAAAAATGGCATTTTTAGGGTTTCGGAGTGGTATAACTTCTAGAGTGGGGTGATAGGCAAAAATTTTGTGCTTTTCGGAAATAAGTTTTCTATCTTCAAGGGTGTGGAAGTTTTGTAAACAGACACGGACGGACGGACGGACAGAGCAAAAATAATAAGCACTTTTTTTTCAAAAATTTTTTAGAAAAGTGCTAAACAGAACGTCAAAGTACAAGAAAATTTGTAAAAATTTCTCACTCAACCCTGATTAAATTAATGTTATAAGTTTAAAAAATAACACAAATTTTTTATTAATAATAATTAACTCATTTCTATTAGAACTTACCAATATTTTCAACACCTAATGCATTCGCTTTCGATTCTTTACTTTTATCATCACGATTACAAACATCACCTGTATTTTTCCACCATTTATCATATAATATTTGTATCATACCTTTTTCTTGCAATTCTAATATTGCTAATGATATTATATCACGCCATGGTGAACCTTTTGGTGTTGCAATTCCATAACCTTTTGAATCTAAAAGACCACCAATTTGTGTTAAATTACAATCACGTTGTACGGCATAATCTAACATTGTTGACTCCATTAAAAATGCATAATTTCCATCCATCACACGTTTAATACCCTCTTCATATGTTTTAACAAATACGGAAGGTTTTTTACTTTCCATAAAACGCCACATTTTTTGATAAATACCAATTTTCGAATCCTATATATAATTTTGTTTTAATAAATTTATTATCAATACGACAAGAAAATATTGTTTGAAATCTACTTATTATTGTGTGCATAAGAAATATGATCACAGTTTTAATTTCTTTTCAAACAGAAAAAAAAACAGCAAAAGAGAATGACTAAATTACATCCAGCACTTTGGTAACCGAAAAAGCTGTTTATTTAAAGCTTTCTATCTTTTTTGAAAAATAAGTTGGAAGCATAAAAACTGGAGCAAGTGGAAATTTGGTAAAATTTCTTTAAAATCTCTGTATCTCGAAAATTGTTGAGATTTGACACTTATTGCTGAACAAAAATTTTACTCACTTTTGATGCTCTAAATTATGGTATACGTTATGTCACTGTTTACTGAATCACCCTGTATTCCCTTTTGCTCTTATAATAACGAAACTACAATTTTTATCGAAAATAGTTTCCCACACTGTCTTCAGATTTTCAATTTCGAATATTTTACAAAATTAAAAATTTCATTCAATTAATACGTTATACTTGCACATTATAATAAATATTATTTCATACATATACAATAAATGTACATACATATACATATTTTTTGATACTTAACTCTAAAAAATGTCATGGTTGAACCCCCTTCTAGTGTACCATATGATATGTCAGTTTGATCTGCCAAATCTGATGCACTTTCAATTGGAGTTATCATACGTTCAACAGTTAAAAATGCTGCTAAATTTGCTGTATAGGATGAAATTATAATTAAAGTGAAAAACCACCAAATACCTCCAACAATACGAGTAGAAGTCGCCTATTTAAAAAGAATTTCGGTATTTATAGAAAAAGCATTTTTAAATATTAATGGAATATGTTCATTAAAATATTAATGGAACACTATATAAAAAAAATAGTAATGTCAACCAAGTTTCAAAAACAAGCTGAGACATTAAATTAAAGTAACATTTCTTTTGATTTTTGATTACAATGCACAGCTAAAGAATTTTGAAAATAAAACAATTTTGCAATCGATTACAATCAAAAATTGTTCAAAATTTTGTAATTTATTCAAAAATTTGGAATAAAATTTTAGGTTATTAAAGAGCTTCAGACCTAAACTTCCCCATTTAAATATAAAAACTTATTTATATTTATAATTTAAATGCAATCAGAGAAGAACTTCCTCATTTAAATATAATTTAAAATAGGGATACCGTGCTTAACTGATAAATAACACTATCTGTTACATTACATTAAGCGTGATATATAAGAGGTTTACATTAAACATTTTCTATACTGAAAAAATTTTTGACAATGATAAAATTACTAAAATAGATTTTCTGTGCGAATAAAAATGGATACATATACAAACATACATATATACATACATATGTATGTAATATTAATATTAAAAATAATAATTATTATTCATTAATATATTTTATTTGAATTTACCTTTGGATTAAGATCAGATCCCTGTTGCATTAATGTTCCAATTGTAAACCAAAAACTATTTTTTAAACTAAAATCATTTTCAGTACTAACAAGTTCAGCTTCATTGTCATTATAATCAGTATCAGTATCATTATCATCATTATCATTATAATTATCATCCACATTAGAACTATTATCATTATCATAACTATTCAATTCATTATTATTATTATTATTATTATTATTATTATTATTAATATTATTGTTATTATTATTATTACTGTTAAAGTTATATATATGATGGTCATTTATATTACAATTATTATCATAATCCAATAAATCATATTGGTTATAATGTACATGATTAAGTGTCTGATGTTGACGCAAATAATGATCATGGTTGTCATGATCATTGTGATCACAATGATGATGATGATGATGATATAGATGACGATGATGAGTTTGAATATTTTTATTATTATGATCATTATCATTATTAAATTCGTCAATTTCATCAATATTATATTCATTATCATCATCGTCATCATTATCGTTATCATCAACATTATCTTCATCATCATTAATATTATTTTTGCCTTTGTTGTTTTGTATGAAATCGTTATTAAAATTATCATCATTAAAAATTTGATTTGAACAATTATTATCTAAATTATCATTTTTTAATTGATTTAAATTATATTTTTGATTTTCTCTAATCATTGTTTTCTTAATTGTATTTCCATAATTTGCTAATAATAACGAAGATGATGTTGAAGCTGATGCCAATGCTGATGATTCCGTATTTTTTAACTTTATATTATATGTTAATTGATCATTATTTTCATTTAATTGATAGCTATCAGAAGTACCTTTTTCATTAATTTCAATTTTATATAAATTATAATATTTTTTTGCAAGTTTTTTCCCATTATTAGAAATATCATGCGGATTTGATAATGAAGATGGTAATAGTAATGACGATTGAGATGTTGATGTTGTATCATTAAATTTAATAAAATTATTCATACATTCTATATTTAAATTTGTTTTATTAATATTATTAATACTATCATCATTTATAATATTATTAATATTGGTAAATTTATCATTTTCGCTATTATCATATTTATTTTTACTGCAATTATATAATGGATATTCATCTAAATCATCAATATTATACGAATCATTAACAATAATGTGAGATTTTTGTTCAATTGATGAATTATTGACATAATCATTATTACTAAATATATAATTATCTTCATTATTATTGTAAATTTTATTATTATAATTACTATTTTCATTAAATAAAATGTTTTTGTCATCAGAATAGATTTTAACATCGATTTCATCATATACCAATGGTTCTTTTTCTTTCATAAAATGAGTTTTTAAATTTTTAATTGTTGAAATCTTTTCATTTCTATCAATACTGAAATATTTATTATTATTCATTTGTAAAACTTTATTTGTTGCGTATAAATTTCGTGATTGTGAATTAATCTTTAATTTATTAATTATATCATTGGATGATGAATTATTGGGAAGTGATGATGATTTAACTTTGATTTCATCTAAAACAATTTGGTTGTTGTTTTGTAATGATTGCAATGACTGCTTCCCTTGTAATTGCGTAGAATTCTCAGTCAAATTGCTATTACGATTTTGGTTTATTTTATTTTCATCAATTAGTGAATCATTACTACAATTTTTATTATTAATTGTTTGCTCTTCACCCATTTCCTTTTTATAAAATTCTTCGTTTTCATATTTTGGTTGTTGCTGTTGATTGTGTTGCTGTTCTGATTGATATTGTAATTTATATCGATATTGTAATTGTTGTTGGGAATTATGAGCTTGTAAATTGAAGAATCCTTGTCTTGCATCGCGTAACATTCTTTTTTGTCGTGCCTCTAACATCATATGTTCACATGCTATCGAACATCTATTTGTTACTGGATTCCATTCAATTGGTGAAAAACGTGCTACAGTCCATATTGTAAATGATACTAAAACATATGCAAATGCTGATAATAGCCATATTTCAATAGCTAATGGATTCATAAATGAAAAGAACCGATTCTGTGATCGTTCAGCATTCTTCATTTTTTTTATATAATATTATTATTTGTATTATTTATTTATAATTATATTTTTTATTGCATACAAAATACGATTTAGTTAGTATAAAGTTTAAAACTTAATTTTTATATATATATTTGATATATATTTATATAAATATAATTATTTTTCATATAAGTAGTTAGCAATAATTTTTAATTTACAAGAATGAAACTCAACAGGAATGTTAGTACTGATCACAAAAGAATATTACAAGCTCATAGCTAAAGAAACATTTATAATGTATGCATAATCTTGTAATATGTATATATATGTATATGTATTATATGTAATATAAAATTTAAGATTTTAAATAGAAGAATAAATTTTTGTCTTAGATCAGAACTATCTTAAATCACATTTTGAAAGCTTTTTAAGGTAGCAAGTTTTTGTTTCAATTTATCTTTCTTACGATTTTAGAATTATGTAATTTGTATCATTGGTTTGATTAGTTGGGATAGTTCTGACCTAAAACGAGAATTTAATATATCAAATAAAGGATTTTAAATTAAAAGTTTTTGCATTTGAAGGTTTTTAACCTTCTATTAGCAGTTAAAGTTTGGCAAAGAAAAAAATTATTTTCTGCTTTTGTCCAACAAAAGTGGAGTTTTAAAATTTTTGTTTAGTAATCTTATTTCCGCTTTTTGAGCTTTATCTGAAAATAAGTAACATTTCTCTACCTATTTCCTTTCCTTATCCTTTCTCTAGATATCTTTCTTTTTTTCTCTACTTTTCTCTTTCCTCTCTTCTTCTATTTCTCTCTCTTTAATCTTCTTTTCTGTCTCTCCCTTTTTTCGCAAACAGACAAACACGAAAGTAAGTTAGGAAAAAACGTGGTAAAAAAAATGTTAAAAGTGCATCTATTATGAGTGTTTCCTCACCACTTTATTAGCATTTGTTATGCACATGTTATATTGTTTTTTATTTTGTATATATGTACATATGTCATTTTACAATTATATTACTCTTATAATTGAACATATTATATTAACGCATTATAATAACGCATTTAGTTCAATGATTTAACAAGCAACATTTAAAGAAAAAAAATTAATTTTGTAAATTACTAATAACAAAAAAAATTGAATTTAACACACACAGAGCGTGTTTCCGTTCTAAGTTAACTGTTACATACTGTTGTATAAATCCTTATGAGTAGTTAAAGCTTCTTTATAATTAAAACCAATGCTAACAGCACATTGAATAGGTTTTGTCTATTTCGCCCAAAAAACTATAAGTTATAGAATTTTTTAGATTAAAAATGTTTCCTGCGATACACCGCCGTTCTTCTTTATTTGCAAAATATTCAAGAAATTTATTTAGTGAATACTTAAGCATAATAGGGAAAAAGGCCATTTAATGAATGTTCTTTATTGTAAATTTTTGAATAGTTAAAGTAAAAATCAATATGAAAACTTTATTTTGCTCATTAACTTCTGACCAATAACTAATACAAGATATGTATGTATATAATATAAATTTTTTTTTTTTAAAATAAACTTATTGTGTTTATAGAAAGTTTCAAAAACATCAAATTTCTAAACCTCAAAAATAACGTTCTTCTAAATTATTTTTTTTTTTAGATTCTGAAATTTGAAATAGTTATTTACAACTCCACGATCTGTATGGTCATAATTGCAAATAAACAAATCGAACCTACACTTAGTTCGATTGATGAGCTTCACAAGCTCTTCATAAAAATTTGTATTAATTTTAATCAGTTAAAATTACCAATTTTAAAGTTTTTATTTTAAACTTTTAAAATCATTTGTAATATGTGTTTAATAATTCATGTATCTTGCAAAAAATAAAGTTGTAATCTAAATTGTACAAAATAAAATGTCTAGAAATCACCAGACAAGTTACATGAGCATTTAATTGATAAGGGACAATTTCTTAATTTACAAGGATCTATACAGCGGTATATTAGGATGAAAATGCAATGCAAACACGAAAACACTCTGTGTATACGTTATATAAAGTTTCAATTTTTGTTGTATATTTAAACCAACCTTAGGATTAAGTCCAGATCCTTGACGTAAAAATGTACCAGTTATAAACCAAAAGCTATTTGATATCGAAAATTGATTTTCAACAATATCAGATTCTTGTAAACATGGATGTGGATTATTCCATTCATATGGTGAAAAACGTGCCATTACAAATAATGTGAATGATACCAATAGATAAGCAGCTAGCACGTATAGCCATATTTCCACAGCCAAAGGATTCATAAAGGAAAATAAACGTGTTGGTTGACTTGTTGGAACCTATATTATATAATACATATAAATACATACAATTGACAATATTATTAAATTGCATAATTCTTTCTTTTATGTGTTTTATCATTTGTGTTGGGGATAGGTAACTACCATGAATTTTTGAATCTAGAAAATAAATTTATAACTAATCGACTTTAATTACATGGATGGTATTTCGGATTCATTAATATAGACAAATCCCTGTCCCAAAAATAATCTCTGTCTAAAAGAATACACTCTTTTAAAAGGTCATTGATTTAATCGGGCTTTAAATTTTTTTGAAAAACAATGCTAAAACTAAATAATTTTTAAACTTTATAGTGCACTCAAAGCAAATACTTCCAGTTTCACATCATCATACATAGATTAAATAAACTATGTCAAATTGGTGATACCAGGTTTTTGTAATATAATGATGCATGTGTCCGAAAATGTCGAAAAATAAGGCCGACTTATAGTTAGGGGATTAAAATTTTGAGATTCTTATTGAAACATGAGAAAAAAGCTTCAAGACTAATTAAATAGTGAAAATATAATAAAACAGAGTGTTTTAATATTACAACATTTTGAATTGCTATGCACGTTGTTTACATACTATGCTATGTAAACAATGTGCCTATAAATAGTTAACTCAATATCATATATCAGTTTAATAAATTTTAGATTTTGTATTTTTTTTACAAATTCCAATAAAAGTTATTAAAGAATAATAAGTATTTATTTGTCTTACGTAATCATATTTAGGCACAAAATAAAAATTATAGATAAACAGTTTACATAATTATGGAATAACGGTAAACTCTAAAACATCGATATGTTTCGATAGTATTAAGATATCTATGCATTGGTACTCCCATCAAAAACCTAAACATGACCTTTTGTGACCTTTATGTGACCTTTTGAAATTACATCATAATTTTTTCTAAATTAATCAAAAATTAAATTGTCTACCGAAACTAATTAAAACGTTCCATTACCACTTTAAACATATATAGCTTTAGTTCACTGATGGAACTTCACTTTTTTGTATAGAAAACGAATGTTAATTGTTCAATATTCAAATTGTTAATAAATTTATAAGTAGAACTTTTATAATTTTTCTCAAAACTATTTAAATGTATTCGATTGATATTTTCGTTATGTAAGAGAAATAATTTAAGTTGGAATCGAAAATAAGAAGAGAAGAAGAATGGTAAGTTATTCTTATACCGTATAATGATGAAAAAGCTGCTCGAAATTTAGAAAAACTCATATGAATGAAATTGAACGACTATGCATAAACATTATATTTTTCTAAATATAAATATTTTTTAAAATCTGTTTTAGCAGATTTTTTTTTGAAATCTGTTTGAACTGATATCAAAAAATGACTTCTTGTTTAAATAAAATGAACACAAATACTGAAAAGCAAATCTAATATATTTTATTGAGCAAAGCAATACATATCACTTAAGTCAAGCTTTTTCCTAATTATTTTTACCGACCGTATTGTGTAAACAATATATTGTGATGGCAACAAATTTTGCATATCGAGTTTTCGGTGGGAACGTACTTCTCCATAGTAGGGAAGTGTAAGTAAACTATTTTTAGCAACCTGTCGGTCCGTCGGTCTATCGGTCTGTGTGTGCACGCGTGTATCTCAAGTTCGACTGAACCGATTTTGATGAAATTTTATATGTAAGTCTATTTCCGCCATGGCACGGATTGATCAACTTTTGGGATATATCAGGCCTCAGGAACTGCACTTTTTAGCGGGCCTGTTTTACATTTTTGAACATTTTGAAGAAAATATTCAACCGATTTACTTGAAATTTTATATATAAGCTCAGCTCGACCGTCCGCGAAAATTCCTATGTTTTGGAAGAAATCAGACATCGGCAACTAGACGTTTACTACGGGCCAAATATACATTTTTGTGTATATAAAGAGAAATAATCAACCGATTTCATTGAAATTTAATATTTGAATTCCTATATTAAAGCAATGAACATATAAATTTTTTGGAAAGATCTGGGCTCAAAAACTGATTTGCGGGCCGATTTTACATTTTTCACTATATCTAAGGTACGAAATGATGTAATTTCTTGAAATTTGATATTTGAGTTCTGGTTGTTACCGAAACTAACTGGCGAGCATTTCAGGGAATTCGGGTAGCACAAAGTTGCTAAGAGCCAAATTTACATTTTTCTAGGTATGTTAACTGGTAGTCGGGTGGTAAGCGACAGGGTAGGCGTTGATCGTTCGCTCTTTTTAGAGCGTTCCAACGTTGCAACTGTGCAGCTGCTATCAAGTACTCATTATACCTCCACGTTGGTGACTACCGGGCAACAGAAGCAAATCTGGCTGAATAATGAGTGCGATACTGGTCATAGGGCTGACAACCCTATACTGGATTTAATTGTCATGGAACCTGAACAGATGCCTCGGATAACAAATCGATCAACACGGAATAGACCTCGGAAACGAAACAAGGACAATGATATCAACTTTGCGTATTGGAATGTAACAACGATGCTTCAGCCAGGCAAAATGGCTGAAATAGCTGATGAATTGGTAAAATATAATATCAAAATTGCTGCACTACAAGAAATAAGGTGGAAAGGGCAAGGAGAAATAAGAAAAAAGCATTACTCTATATACTTTAGCGGAAGTGAGAATCAAGGATTATATGGTACAGGTTTTTACGTAGATAGACAAATCCGTAACAGCATTATTCTTTTCGAACCTGTAAATAACCGAATATGCATATTGAAAATTAAAGGAAAATTCCAAAATATTACTTTAATTTCAGTATATGCCCCTACAAATAATGCAAATGATGATGAAAAAGTTTTTTTCTATGATGAACTATCAAGAGTATGCGAGAGAACATCTAAACACGATGTTTTAGTAGTTGCTGGCGACTACAATGCTAAAATTGGTAGAGAAAGTTTTATAAGAGATATAGCAGGATTACACTCACTTCACGCCGACACAAATGAGAACGGAATGCGATTAACAAATTTCGCTTTAGAGAACAATATGTGGATCAGTAGCGTTTCTTTTAACCATAAACAAATACATAAACATACATGGAAAATCCCTGGTGGAAGGGGTGCAAATCAGATAGACCACATTCTAATTGATAAAAGACATGCTTCCAGTATACTGGATGTAAAATCATGTAGGGGAGCAAATTGTGACTCCGACCACTATATGGTAAAGGTTAAAATGAGACAAAGAATTTCAAATATAGCTACCAAAAATTCATTCAAACGTGTCAGATGGAACACAGATAAATTTTCAAATGATAGAATCAAATCGGCATACGAAAATGCAATAAATGAAAGACTTAATAATTCAGTTTTAAACCAAAACATCTCAAATAGTTGGAAGATGCTAGAAGAAACCATCAAGGGGGCAGCAATTGATGTAATAGGCCGTCAACCAAAAAGAAGTGGAAATGAATGGTACGATAACGATTGCAGGAATATTAATGATTTAAAACATGAGGCCTGGAAAAAATATATAAGTAGAGGAACAAGAAGTAATCGTTTAGAATATAATTACATAAGAAAAGAAGCAAAGAAAGTTATAAGAAGGAAGAAGAGAGAGTCACTTAACGCAAAAATCGAAAAAATTGAGCAAAACTCTAGGAACCACATAAGGGATTTTTATAGAGATATAAAATATCAATCTACCCCATATCAGCCACGGTTAAATGTATGCAAAAATAAGTTTTAGTTGACGAAGGAAAAATTTTAGAGAGATGGAAAGAACATTTCAATGATTTGTTTAAAAATACAAATAGAACTGAATCTAACTAAAATTTTGAAGCACTATGCAGCGTTGAAAATACAATTGAAGAACCAACAATAGAAGAGACAAAAATCGCGATTAGTAGGCTTAGAAACAACAAGGCAGGTGGAGAAGATTCCATAACAGCGGAGCTATTGAAATATGGTGGACAGGGGCTGCATGAGAAAATAAACGAGCTTATTCTATTGATTTGGAGACACGAAAATCTTCCAAACACATGGAATAATAGCATAATATTTCCTGTACATAAAAAGGGCGACAAGAAAGACTGTAAAAATTATCGAGGAATTACTCTACTGAATACAGCATATAAAATTTTTACGAATATTCTGTATGTTCGTATTAACGATGTAGCCGAAGAAATTTTAACAGAATACCAATGTGGTTTTCGAAAGAATAAATCAACCACAAATCAATGCTTCATTTTAAGCCAAATATTTGAAAAGTTCAACGAATATTCGAAAGAGGTTCACTGTCTTTTTGTTGATTTCCAACGGGCGTTCGATAGCATTCATAGAGAAAGGATTTTTGGAGTGATGCAGAGATTAGGTATCCCCGAAAAATTAATAAGACTGACATGCATGACTTTGAAAAATAATAGTGCAAAAGTTTTAATCCAAGGAAAGTTAACGGCCCCTTTCAATATAGAATGTGGTGTGAAACAGGGGGATGCGCTCTCTTCCCTAATATTCAATCTGATGCTTCATTATGCCATCCGGGAAATCGATCATGGAGGAAGTATTTTTACAAAATCGTTTCAAATTTGTGCTTACGCAGATGATATAGCTATTGTCGCCAGAAATGAAAGGCAAATAAAGGAGATCTTCACAAGACTAGTTAAAAATACCAAAGAAATCGGCCTCAACATAAATGAAGAAAAAACAAAGTACTTCATCAAAACCAGATCTTCAAGAAATTCTCGAAATTTAGAAATCGGAAGCTATGAGTTTGAAAATGTACAAGATTTCAAGTACTTAGGTGTTGTTTTTTCAAGTACAAACGATTTTACAAATGCTATCAAAGAGAGAATAAATGCAGCTAACAAATGTTATTACATGAACCTGAAGCTGATGAAATCTAGGTTACTCTCGAGAAATAGTAAATTACAAATATACAAGACTTTAATTAGACCTGTACTTGCTTATGGATGCGAATGTTGGACCGTTAAAATGTCTGATTGGAACCTGTTAGCTACTTTCGAAAGAAAAATATTGAGAAAGATTTTTGGACCAACGAGAAATGAGGACGGAACTTTCAGAATAAGATACAACCATGAGCTGGAAGAAATGATGAAATTTGAAACAATTACAAGATATGTAAAATCGCAAAGGATAAGATGGCTGGGCCATGTAATCCGTATGAATGAAAGCAGTAAGGTCAAAACAATATTGCAGAGAAAAGATCACGGAACTAGAGCTAGAGGCAGGCCTAGATTGAGGTGGTTAGATTCAGTAGTCGAAGATTTAAAAATATTGAACATAAATAACTACACAACATCTGCACAAGATCGAGGCAATTGGAAGAGGATAGTGAAGGAAGCTTTGGTCCACAGAGGACTGTAATGCAGTGGAAGAAGAAAGAAGAAGGTATGTTAACTATAAGCTTACTAATGCCTCGAAAATTGGAAAGAAATATTTAACAGACACTTTTATAATATTCCGTAGCACTTTCATTTAACTAGACAATACACAAAGCAGTCGGTTATGTGCTGACCACATCAGATTTTTGATTAATAGAAAGCTCAAGAATTTTATCATACTCAAAATTTCACATAATATGTAGGTTAATTTCGTTGTCTTACTTAGAATTTCAGATTGTTTCATATTTATAAAATTTTTGGAAGAATTGCTTCCCTACAAGTTCGTTTGGTGAAGCTCTGAAATGGAACGCCATAAGCTATCGTAATGCAAATTTATTTTGATTAAATTAAAATAAATAAAATTTCTTTTAAAAAAATATTAAAAATGTCAAAAAATTTCATGATTAAAACGTTACTAATTTTTACCGATCTCATTCCATATCCAATAACGAAGGTTATATGATACCATTAAATTGTATTTGCACCAGAGGCCACTAGTGCGTGTAGTAGTGCATACCAGGACCCCTAATATATGAAATTTTAAATTTTTTTCTCCGTATAAATCAAATTTATTTCTGTGACAATATTTAAAACGTATAGGTTTAATTTAAGACGTATAGGTTTTATTATGTTCACCATTTTTTGCATTTTAAACTTGCTCACCGGTAATACATTGAGACTTAAAGTGTTAAAATATGAATGTATGTACATTAGTAATTCATTTAATAAAGGCAGGAAAATTAAAACTTAGATAACGCTTGTCGTTGGCTCGCAAAATATTTAAAATTGGCAAAATATTTAAAATTTAAAACAAAAAATCGAATATGGTCAACACATAACCGACAGCAAGACATTGTCTAGTTTAGCTAAAATGTTGCATAAAACTACGAAATTGCTTTTAAATACTTCTCAAAAATATTAGGAAGGCTAGTACAGTTTGAATTAACATACCTAGAAAAATATAAATTTAGCTCTTATCATTTGCTCACTGTATGCTAACCATTTGGTCCTTGAAAAATTCGTCAGTTAGTTTTGGTAGCAAACAGAGTTTTTAGAAATTCAATCAATTAGCTCCATAGATTTGATAACAAATCCCCTGGTTAATTTTTCGACCCTTGACTTTTCCAAAAAATTTTGTTAGTTCTTGGTTTCTCGAACAGCCCGAATGTAAGCATTAAATTTCACGAAAATTGGTTGATTATTTCTCTTTATATACGCAAAAATATAAACTTGTCCGCCATTTTTTTACTTACTTTATATTTATTATTATGATTTATGCATGAATTGTATTTCCTTGCTGATTTGTTATTCTATGAGTGAGTTAATATACCGTAGCTGACTATTGACTAGGGATTGACTATGACTTTAAATTGCCGTATTTTTCAAATTTTTAAGTATATTGGCCATAGTTGGCCACAGTTTGGAAATCTTCTATTGAAATTGTATGGCAGCTACAACAAAGAGTCAAGAAATTTCAACGATTTTTATTACAGATAACAGCGCTGACAAAACATTTGTGTTCACGAAATTTCTATATTATAACTCCAATAATTTCTGAGATAATGCCAAATAACTTTTGAAATATATTGCAGCTGTCACAAGTGCTCATGAGATCTCAACATTTTTTAATAAATATATCTGCCATTTCACCGTATTTTTTTTCAAAATTTCAAAATTTCAGTACTGTAGGTTGTACAGTTTTTAAGATATAAATATAATCAAATAACTTTTCAAGTTGAATGTCAGCTTCTAATAGGACCCAAGCAATTTCAACAACTTTTATAAAACACATTGACGCTACTAATATATTCGATTGTTTGAAATTTCAATACTACAGCTTCTATAGTTTCTGCGATAAATAATAAATTGATAAAATGAGAAAAAGAAATAACCAACCAATTTCCTTAAAATTTTATATTTGAAGTTAAAGTGCAGAAACAATGAACATTTGAATTTTTTGGAACGATCAGGGCTCGGAAACCGAAGTGGGGGACGATTTTAGCTTTTTTACCATATGTACAGAACGGATTGATGGAATTTCTTGAAATTTGATATTTGAGCTGTAGTTGTTACCAAAATTAACTTTACTAAACACAAAGCGAAACTTTACTAAGAGCCAAATTTACATTTTTTTAGGTACGTTAACTGAAAGCTTACTAACGCCCTAATAATTTTAAAGAGTATTTAAAAGACATTTTTGTAATATTCTGCAACATCTTCAGTTAACTAAACAATATATATTGCGGTGGGTTCCCAAGTAACATTATTTATCTCATAAGTCTGTTGTAGAGCTTTATTAAGAATTCTTTAAGAATATTACTCTTATAATTTCAGTCTTGTAGAACACTAAAAGACCCCAGTGAGATCTTTATAAGAACAAGAGAGCGGAATTACCAGAGTTATTAATTCTTGTAATGAGAGTTAAGCTCCCATTAAAAGAGCTTTTAAAGCATATAACTCTCATACCAAAACTAGTATGAGAGTTACGAAAACTCTAACAAGCCATTTATAATAGTGTTACTAGAAAGAGAAAGCAATACATTCTAGAATAAATAAATCGGTCTTACTTCGAAATTAATAAAAAATATATCTATTCCGCTTTTAATAATTAATTTTTTTAACAAAAATGAAGCAAAATATACGAGTACATATGTTTACGTATATGATATGTAATCAATAAACATTTGTATTCAAAAATTTCATATAATTTTGCTGCCATAATTATAAATGAAAAAGTAGCTGGCATTAAAATTTTATTGATAAAAGTTGATATTGTACTTCGAAAAAAAGCAACGTCAACTAGAAATAATTAAAATTTAAAAAATTTTTATACATATTTTTTAACCCTATAATATCTTATTCCTTTTTTTTACATAAATTTTAAAGTTTAAGAATTGTTAAGCAAAAAATAAATATACTAATGTGCATAAATTCCAACTAAAACTTTATTATATTCAAATAAAACTATAATTTTGCATTTCATTAACTTTAATTTAACAATTTCGATACAATAAATATTTTTCGGACTTCTTTCCAAAAAAAAGAATTCTCACTCTCATTAGGGTTAAAATTTAAATAAGGAAAAATTGCAATACTTATAAAGGAATTCTTTTAAGAACAAAATTCTATAAGAGTTGACATCTTATAAAAAATACTTTATGAGAATTAAAATCTTTTATGGCTTGGCGAAAGTAGTTTTGCTATGAGAGCAGCAGAATTTTTAACACTACAAGTGGCTAAGTCTTATTACAAGAACCTTATGAGAGTTGCATAAAAACAAAAAAAGGAAAAAAAATTATGAGAGTACGAGTATTGTAGTGTGGTATGAGAGTTTTAGTCAATTTTTTAGGGTATTACTCTTAAAAATTGTTACTTGGGTTATGTGTTGTTGAGCTTTTTAGGTAATTTAAATGGCACAAAGCGAAACTCTACTAAAAGCCAAATTTTCATCTTTCTAAGTATGTTAACTAAAAGCTTACTAACGTCCTAAAAATTGGAAGTGTTTAAAAAGCATTTTTATAATATTCTGTAAAATTTACACTAAGCAAGACCATATACATCGCTGTCAGTTATGTGCTGACCAGATGTTAGACCAGATATCAGATTTTTTTTAATTAATATTATACATATACATACATATATAGTCTATCTAGCTTAAGTGCTGGAAATAATTTACTATAACTACAAGTTTTCAATTAAAATTATTTTTTTACATTACAAACACAACTATAAAATATTACCAAAAAATTTTTATCACCTTAAATAGAATCCCAATACCTAAATTCATAAATGGTTTTGTAAAATCTATAACACTTTCTCTGGCATAGTTAATTGTCATTGAAGCAACTGCTAAATCTGCTCTCTGAAAAAAAACGTAATATCTGATTATTTTAGTATATTAATTAACACTTTCCGATATCCAAAAAAATATATAAAAAGCGAGAAAAAATGTCAACTCTGTGATACCCGTACGAATTTGTTATCCTATGTGCGAATAAACATGCCATAACTGACTATGTGAAAGACTATGATTTTAAGTGGCCGTATTACCATATTAATTTATGCAAGGTTTCAGTACTGTGTTTTTTTAAAGTACTGTGTGTGTCAAACTACTATTAAAGTTGTGTGGCAGCTACCACAAAGAGCCAAGAAATTTTAACGAATTTTATCAAGCACATTGGCCCTACTAAAATATTCGCTTGTGTGAAATTTCAATACCATAGCTTTTACAGTTTCTGAGATATACCCAAATAACTTTTGAAGTTGTATGGCAGGTATCAGAAGGAGCCAAGCAATTTCAACGACTTTTGTCAAGCACATCGGCCCTACTAATATATTCACTTGTGTGAAATTTCAATACCACAGCTTTTACAGTTTCTGAGATATAGAGTGTTCTGGCACTTATTACAATAAATCATTTGTGAAAATTTGGTAAAGTTAGCTCAATTACTTTTTGAGTTATCGCTGGTACGGACGGACGGACAGACAAAGATAAATCAACTCAGAATTCGACACTGATCAAAAACATACACTTGAGTCTATATCTAAGACCGTTATTTCTTGGCGTTACAAACGGTAAGGCAAATTTAGTATACCCTTCGAACATACGTTCGTATGGGTATAAAAATATTTTGTTTAAAATGAAATGACAAGAATAGGTATTGTTATAAATCCCTCTTGTCAAGTTTATAACCATTTTTCTTCTAGGAGAGTTTCGAAAGAAATTTCATATACGTTTATGTACTACATTCTCCAAATGTTGTTTGTAAAATATACCATGTTAATTTAGACTACTGTATACAACGTATATACAATTTGTTTAAAGTTTTTCTAACGAAATGAACTATTTGTTAGTTTCTGAAGACTGCTAAAAGTTTGTAATAAAGATCTAAATAAACTAAAATTTCAGGTGTATATCACAAAAAGAAGTAAAAGTTTTGTGAACATGCTCACGGACGGGAGAATGGACTACCGAATGGATGGACAGACAGAGTAAGACTAATAAGCATTTTTTTAGATTTTTTTTTAGAAAAGTGTCAAAAACGAAAGGATATTCACAGGTAAAATTTTATGCAACCTTTAAAAATTGATTAATCACAAATATTAAGGCTTTCAAACTCAGATAAAAGTCAAAATGTAAAAAATGAAAATTTGTTTTTCATATAAACCGTATGACATAATTTTCTATTGTTTTAATGTTTTTATTGTCCATTGTTCTTCAAATAACGGCTTTCATACATAAGAACACGGTATTGACAGAGGATACAAAGGCGATTGAAATTATCAAAATTACATTCATGTCAAGGAAATGTCCCGTAGCGCATTCCTTGTTTTGAGGATTTTAGAGTGAAACGAGAAAAAAAATAGAGTTGACCTTGTCAACTCTGTGATACCCGTACGAATTTGTTATCCTATGTGCGAATAACTAATGTGCCATAACTAACTATGGGGCAGACTATGACTTTAAGTTGCCGTATTACCATATTAATTTATGCAAAATTTCAGTACTATGTGTTATTCAAAATATGTTGATGTTGTATAGCAGCTACCAGAAAGAGCCAAGAAATTTTAACGAATTTTATCAAGCACATCGGCCCTACTAATATACTCACTTGTGTGAAATCTCAATATCACAGCTTTTATAGTTTCTGAGATATAGTCAAATAACTTTTGAAGTTGTATGGCAGGTACCAGAAGGAGCCAAGTAATTTCAACGACTTTTATGAGACACATTGGCCCTACTAATATATTCGTTTGTGTGAAATTTCAATACCATAGCTTTAATAGTTTCTGAAATATAGTCAAATAACTTTTGAAGTTGCATGGCAGGTACCAGAAGGAGCCAAGTAATTTCAACGACTTTTATGAGACACATTGGTCCTACTAATATATTCGTTTGTGTGAAATTTCAATACCATAGCTTTAATAGTTTCTGAAATATAGTCAAATAACTTTTGAAGTTGCATGGCAGGTACCAGAAGGAGCCAAGTAATTTCAACGACTTTTACCAGACACATCGGCCCTACTAATGTATTCACATGTGTGAAATCTCAATATCACAGCTTTTATAGTTTCTGAGATATAGCCAAATAACTTTTGAAGTTGTATGGCAGGTACCAGAAGGAGCCAAGTAATTTCAACGACTTTTATGGGGCATATTGGCCCTACTAATATATTTGTTTGTGTGAAATTTCAATACCATAACTTTTATAGTTTCTGAGATATAGCCAAATAAATTTTGAAGTTGTATGGCAGCTACCCGAACCGGTACCCCGATCATGTCCAATTTAAATAGGGTTCTGGCACTTACTACAATAAATCATTTGTGAAAATTTGGTGAACTTAGCTCAATTAGTTTTTGAGTTATCGTTGGGACGGACGGACGGACGGACGGACGGACGGACGGACGGACGGACGGACGGACGGACGGACGGACGGACAGACAAAGCTAAATCAACTCAGAATTTGACGCTGATCAAAAACATACACTTGAGTCTATATCTAAGACCGTTATTTCTTAGCGTTACAAACGGTAAGGCAAATTTAGTATACCCTTCGAACATACGTTCGTACGGGTATAAAAAATACCAGAAATTATAATGAGCTCCTATGGAAAGCCTTCTGGGTAGTTCTTCGTGTTGATAAGCAAAAAATCGTAAAAAAGGGGTGCCACATCACTTTCTAAGTAAACAATTCAGGTTCGGAAGGAATGTAGAAAGCGAAGTTGCGTCTATTCCTCAGCTTCCCTCACATAAATCAAGATATGTTCAAAAGAACTGTCAAATCCAACACCCAGTGTACCAATAATGAGAACTTCAGGTGAATTGAAGGAGCACAAGCCCACTGGGGAAACTGAGACTGCTTTACGTGTTGCTGCTGGAAATGGTTTGTCCACTGCGTCAAAAGAGAGTACCAAGCTTGGGAGGCCAACGAAATATAAGGGAAAACCGGCAGAGGAAAAGATAGCTGAAGTGCAAGCTGTGAAGGCTAATAGAGAAAAACGTTCGATGAAAAGCCCAAGAAATAATGTGGTGCATTCAAAAAAATCTACAATATGCCAGACAATATTCGGATGTTCTTGTCCATAGATTCATTAAAGTAAAGTAAATTATCAAGTAAATTATAAGTCAAGTAAATTATCAAAAAATAGTCATGAAAATAAAAACACAATAACAAAAAAGAAAGAGGTAAATTAAAGTTAACTTTACTCGCTCCATTAATTCATGAACAATGCCATTCCATTTTTTTGAATCAGGATTGTAAACACCATACATATTATCCGGTACCATTTGTATTTGATATTGAAAACCTACTTGTTTCGCTATTTGCCTTAAAAGATCAATACAAAAACCTTCATAACGTGCATTGCCAGTTGCTGTTTTATCATCTCTTATCATTACATATGGTTTTTCCTACAAAAATAATTTTTAATAAATATTTTATGAGTGAAATAAAAAAAATAAACACCTCTCTAGTCATAACTATCAATGTGATATTGGCGGCATTCGTATCATAAAATGCTGTGGGATCTGTTATATTGATACCTTCGGATGGCATCCAATGACCTACTTTTTCAATTTTTTCTCTCTTTAATTTTAATAAATCGATTTTAAAATTATTTCGACGTCCTTCATTAAATTCAACTTTTCCAGTTAATCCATCGATACTGGCCTTAAATTTTATTTATATTTATAATAAGTAAAAACTATATAGCTATTGTATTTGATTTTTAATTATAAGATTTGCGAAATTTTAAGAACTAGAAGATTTGAAAAACTTTCGTACGAATTTCTTAGTAGAATGCTTCATTAGTAATAGTGTAGGCACTTGGTCCTGGGGAAAAAGCTCTTCTCTATAGTAAATAAATTCATATTGTAAATAATGTTTTTATGTAAATGAGTAATGAATGCTACGATTATGAATTAATAAGCATGAATGCATGATCAATACCGAATATATGAATAATGAGTATTAATTAACGAATAAAAGTAAAGGAACTCATCCCTGTAATGAAATCTGTGGCAAAAAGGAATAATCGCTAAAATCGATTATTGCTAATTTACATAGGAACAGAAATAAAAATTTTCGTAATTTTTTGTCTTCTTTTTTTTAATTTCTACGAGTTATTAATAAGATTAACGTTCAAAAGTGGTTGGTTAGATTACAGAACTAACCTCTACTTATGATTGTAAATTTTATTTTTTATTTCTATCTATTTTTTAGAATTTAAACAACTTTAGCCTTTATTCCAAAATTTTTTTATGTTTATTTAAGAGCTAATACTACTTTGTCGCTTTTTCCAAATTGTTTCGAACAAGTTCAAGATAAAAACTAAAGTTTATTTAAGTTTTTGTTCCAAAGTTTTATTTTAACTAAGCTAGACTAAAGCGATTAGGAAATAATGTTGAGTTTATTAGAAAGTTCTCACTTCTTTTAAAATAGTATTTTTATTAATAAAGCGCAATTATGACCAAATTAAAATATATAAAATATGATTACAAATAGAATATACATTATTAGAAGTTATATTTTACAATATTAACAAGTTATAGTTCTTTTATAATTATAAGTCTTCAGCGTCATCATCAACCAAATCCGGGTGAATATTGGCTAAATTGGCTGGCCTTAAATTCTTGTAAAATTCATGAAAACAAGGGTCAATTAAAGGTAACAAATTCATAAGATCCTTGTACTTTTCATTACTAATACTTAACGGCTGATTATTAGCTATTATTATTTGTTTCAAAAAAAAAAATTGTTAAAAAATACCATTTGTACAAAACATTTAAATTTGAATGGTATCAAAAGACTAACATGGCAGAATTATTGTATTTTTATTGTTGGTACTACAAATGATCAGGAAAATTTTTTAGCATTCGGTATAGCCGTATATCCAAGAAATGAAATCGAAGATTTTGAATTCTTATTTGAATCAATAATTGTAGGTGTGAAAAAATGCTTTATTTTAAATTATTATCCACAACTTTTATACAGGGACTCAAATCTTAATGCTGAAGTTGCATTCTCTCAAATACTTGGGTAGGATAAATATACAAAAATATGTTGGCATCACGTTAAATCTAAAATTGCAAAGAAATTAGAATATCTTCTCCCAAATTACCATAACAAAAAGGAAAATATTTTGGCGGATTTAGATATTTTGCAAAAAAGTGAAAATTTAAATGCTTTCAAGGATGCTTTTAATTTATTCGAAAATAAGTGGGCAATTTATGTAGAATTTATTATTTACTTACACCAAGAATGGATAAGCGAAAATTACAATTGGTTTGAAGGAATCTATTTAGCTATAATAAGCAGTAATATGGCCTTAGATTGTATAGCAAAAGGAATTGAGAATGATGAAGAATTTCGGTCACAAATTCCATTTTCACAATTCAAAGTAAAACTTTACCAATGGTTAAAGAATTAAGACAATTTAAAATGTAATGACTTAGTATTAAACTACAATATTCACAAAAAAAGTAATTCAGAAATCAAAAATATTTTAAACCACGATTTTAAGGAAAAACATTTTTCTGAAAATATACAGAAAATGAATTCAAAAACAAACAGTAAAATGAGGAGGTGTAATTTTCAAAGAACTACTACTCAAACAGAACAAAAAGAAAATGAAAGGAAGCTAAATCGGGTATGAATAGAAGATTGTACGTTTAGTTCGTACGCCGAAGCGCAAAAGTCTATTGATTCTGAGCAAACTTGAAGCTTTTCTTTTTAAAACAAAAGTAAAGCTGACGTTAAAAGATATTATCTATGCAACAAGGTACTAAGAAGAGGTAAGGGTTGTAATACTTCAATTTATTTACTTTTGAAGTCAAATTGTACTGATGTTGTCTTGAGACGATCCAACTTACCACATACATGTCATAAACTAGTATTTAAACCTCGGAAATTGGCAAAATCACTTAGCGAATGAGAATTATTTTGTTCATTTTCCATTTTATACGCTTTTCGTAAATGACGCATAGAATCTGGTTTTATAAAACAGAAATTAGTGGAACTTTCTGAACGAACAGGAGGATCGTACAAATTTTTAATAAAAAATAGATCACCATATGAATTTTGAGTTGGCAAATCGTTATTATCTAAAGAAATTTAACACAAAACGAGAAAAAAAATAGAGTTGACCTTGTCAACTCTGTGATACCCGTACGAATTTGTTATCCTATGTGCGAATAACTAATGTGCCATAACTAACTATGGGGCAGACTATGACTTTAAGTTGCCGTATTACCATATTAATTTATGCAAAATTTCAGTACTATGTGTTATTCAAAATATGTTGATGTTGTATAGCAGCTACCAGAAAGAGCCAAGAAATTTTAACGAATTTTATCAAGCACATCGGCCCTACTAATATACTCACTTGTGTGAAATCTCAATATCACAGCTTTTATAGTTTCTGAGATATAGTCAAATAACTTTTGAAGTTGTATGGCAGGTACCAGAAGGAGCCAAGTAATTTCAACGACTTTTATAAGACACATTGGCCCTACTAATATATTCGTTTGTGTGAAATTTCAATACCATAGCTTTAATAGTTTCTGAAATATAGTCAAATAACTTTTGAAGTTGCATGGCAGGTACCAGAAGGAGCCAAGTAATTTCAACGACTTTTATGAGACACATTGGTCCTACTAATATATTCGTTTGTGTGAAATTTCAATACCATAGCTTTAATAGTTTCTGAAATATAGTCAAATAACTTTTGAAGTTGCATGGCAGGTACCAGAAGGAGCCAAGTAATTTCAACGACTTTTACCAGACACATCGGCCCTACTAATGTATTCACATGTGTGAAATCTCAATATCACAGCTTTTATAGTTTCTGAGATATAGCCAAATAACTTTTGAAGTTGTATGGCAGGTACCAGAAGGAGCCAAGTAATTTCAACGACTTTTATGGGGCATATTGGCCCTACTAATATATTTGTTTGTGTGAAATTTCAATACCATAACTTTTATAGTTTCTGAGATATAGCCAAATAAATTTTGAAGTTGTATGGCAGCTACCCGAACCGGTACCCCGATCATGTCCAATTTAAATAGGGTTCTGGCACTTACTACAATAAATCATTTGTGAAAATTTGGTGAACTTAGCTCAATTAGTTTTTGAGTTATCGTTGGGACGGACGGACGGACGGACGGACGGACGGACGGACGGACGGACAGACAAAGCTAAATCAACTCAGAATTTGACGCTGATCAAAAACATACACTTGAGTCTATATCTAAGACCGTTATTTCTTAGCGTTACAAACGGTAAGGCAAATTTAGTATACCCTTCGAACATACGTTCGTACGGGTATAAACACAAAAATATTATTCTATTGTTTCCACATTATGATGGAAAATCAAAAAATTACATTTTTTGGGCCAATGATCAAAATTATCGGATGTATTTAAATTATTCTTCTTTAAATTTTCTAAAATTGGTTCCAAAAATTCGAATATCGTATTTTCTATTGACTTTTCTAAAGATTTTATATTGTATTAATTTTTATTTTAACTTTTCACAAGAATTCAAAATAAAATTTGACTTACGAACTTCTGATGATTTTTTATTTGCCTCAGCTTTAATTATTTCTAACATACGGCTGCCACGAAAATATTTATTCATTTTTAATGAAAATTTATGTAATTTTATACATACTTATAAAAACTTTAACTTTTAAATAATATCAAAAATACAAAACGCTAAACTCAACATATACTTCACTATATCACTGGTAAAAATGGCTAATGTCCACTTTAGTTTAACAAAATTTGAATTTACAATTTATAATAATAGCTAAACCTACTTTGGTTTTTATTTTTCAAAAATTATACACAGGAATATCAACCAAAGTTTATATTAGCGAATAGTTTTTAAATTTTCCAATTTAGAATAAAAGCTAAAGTAATTTTTGTCTTTTGTTCTTTAAGTATCTAAACAGCAATTTTGAATAAATTTTAATTTTGGAATAAACGCTTAAAAATAGTTTAGCTATTTTGACTAATTACGTTGTAAATATTTTAATGATAAAATATATATTAGCGGTTATTCCATATGTTATTATTTTCTTTTTAAACTTTAGCGATTAGGAAAATTTTTAATAACTTGGCTAAATTAAGTGATAGAAACTCCAAAATTTTTTGGAACATAGAACATTATACCATAGTTATCTCATTTTTCGGTAAAGTCGACTTTAGCGATTATTCCTTTTTGCCACAGAAATATAGGTGACGAGGTAGAGTAATTAATTATGGGGTCAGAAGGAGGATGATGAACGAATGAACTCTAACGTAAAGAGACGAGGAGCGTTGAACCTAGTGGTTTAAGGTCAGTCTTGGGTGATGGGTGACGGGCGAATGAACTTTGAAGTAAAGAGACGAGGAGCGTTGAACTTATTTGAACACGTAATTCGTCGCCGAGTTTTTGATTTAATAAATAATTAATTATATGATCGTAAAAGTGTTTTAGTATAAGATAAAAGTTATTAGATAACGGGTGTTGTTGTTTTGAAAATGACAAATTGTAAAAAATTTTAATTATAATGCGAGATAAGGAATATTTATGTAAATGGGATGTGAATAAACTTCTAAGCAAGACATGTTGAATCAGGTGCATTTTTCAAAATATAGGTGAACAAGTTCTTTGTCATAAAAGCTTT